CCTTCCTTCCTTCCTTCCTGGAGTCCTATCTTCCTGGAGTCCTTCCTTCCTTCCTGGAGTCCTATCTTCCTGGAGTCCTTCCTTCCTTCCGGGAGTCCTTCCTTCTTTCCTTCCTCCCTTCCTTTCCCTTCCTTTCCTTTTCTTGTCTTTTACTTCCTTTCCCTTCCTTTCCATTTCTTATCTTTCGCATCCTTTCCCTTTCTTTCCCTTCCCCCCTTTCTTCCTCTTCCTCTTCCTCTTCCTCTTCCTCTTCCTCTTCCTCTTCCTCTTCCTCTTCCTCTTCCTCTTCCTCTTCCTCTTCCTCTTCCTCTTCNTCTTCCTCTTCCTCTTCCTCTTCCTCTTCCTCTTCCTCTTCCTCTTCCTCTTCCTCTTCCTCTTCCTCTTCCTCTTCCTCTTCCTCTTCCTCTTCCTTTCCTTCCTCCCTCCCTCTGTCTTTTCTGTAACCTATACTAAATAGAGAAAAAAAACCCTTGCTACATCACTTACTATTATCTTTTTACCCATTCCAACATGGAAATTCAAAAGTTGTGACCTGAGAGGTAGCTAACAAGAGAATTTAGAAGTTGCTCACATTTATGCTCAGTTTATGATCAAGGTGAGCAAAACACAGAAAATCTGATTATCATAACACGTTGCACAGTGAGAAGCAGATCTCACATAATGTAAAATCAATCCACCTAAATCTCTTTGTAGCCTGAACTATTTCTGAGATGGGCGGCAAAGCTTTAGTGTGAGAAAGAGTGAACTCTGTGTGTGAATATGCATGTGCTTAATAACTCGCCTGCATTGGCTGCCATGCTCAGAATGATTAATTCTCTAATGCACGTGTATTTTACCTAAGCCCCCTTTTAAAAGTTTTGGATTTTCATGTATATGATTAAAAATGTGGTTTGCAGTGCCAGAGCCAATTTCTTGTTCTGGAGGTGAGGCTGCAGCTTGCTGTGCTGCAAATGTCACCGGTGAGACGTTTGTTAGAGCTGCACTGCATGCCGGTTAATCTGTTTACTTATGCAATGGTGGAAATGTGACCTGGCTATTGTGGTGATTAACAGAGTCAAATATCCTCACATTAACTAGTGAGCTGGGCAATCAGGCTGGATTATTGTTACATTCAATTTAAATTACAGTGGCATGACAGGTCCTGAGGTATTTAGTAACGGATTTCACAGCACAGATATGCTTCATGTGTAATGAATAAACTCTAGAGAGCAACAAAAGGAAAAAAAATAAAATAAAAAGGTATTTTATGATCATTGTGAAAAAATTTATGGAGTGTAGCTGGCATGAAATTCTATAAAATGAACTGGCTCCAACCAGTCCAACAACAAAGCACACACTTTTCTTCCTGCTGCTTATGAATTATTATTACCGAGTCCTCCTATGTTTACTCATTAGCATTGAACCCTTTGCAAAACTGTGATTCAAAATTGAATTCTTCTTAATTGAAAATACCCCCAGTATGCTGGGAGAAAAAATGAAGGGGAAAAATGGCAGCAGCACCACAATAGGCCAGTTAGCTCTGTGATAGTCAGAGGGGGTGGCTGCTCTGAGCTTGAATGTTATTCAGGATTCACAGCCGGACTATGCGAAGGAGAGAGCAGGTTGCATTCAAGTTGTTCTGCACACTGACATACATATAATTTAAATATTTAGCCACCGGTGTGCTGCTGCAGTGTGTTAGCCCACTAGCACCAGAGTGCATTAATCCTGTTCTCTGTGCGACTTGCTGACTTTGACCTGTTTTATGCTCTGTGACTGAATAACACATAGCACTTTGCTCTGGGAAAAAAAAAAAAACCTAAACAAAACACACTATGATCTCAACACACATTGGTTTCAATTAACTTTTAACCATTTGATTGCACTAATTCTAGGATGTTAGTTAGCTATTGCAGAGTTGGCTGTATTGATTTTGAACAGAACGAACAAAAGTACAAAACAAAGACTGAATTTTCAGAAAATAATTTTCCTTCTTCCCATTTGTTTCATTATTTATTTGCAAATATTTTTGCAGAGGCTATTTTGATACTCAGAAAAGTTCTGATGAAAAATAAAATACTTTAGGATTTCAGCCAGGATTATCTAGCATTTATTGAAGCTTAAGAGAATGATGCTACAGTATGGAACTGTTGAAAAATGGCATATTAAAAAGTATGGAAAGCTACAAATAACAAATGTCAGTGGTGAAAATATTGTGGTTGTGAGGTGTTCAGGTGCTGCTTGGTGGATCTTGACTAGGGAAGAACTAATGGAGCCTCACATGGAAACTCTTACTTTGTGATCTTGCATGTACCAATCATTTGAATGTAATATCAGAAAATGAAAACAATGAAGCTTCCTTGATTTAATTGAAATCTGATGTAAAGTCTGTTTAAAATCAGGGACCATTCTACAAAAGGGAAGGAGAGAAGAGTGTGACGTCTGTGCTGTGGCTTACAAAGGAAGCTCATCCTCATACAAGAAGGCAAAAAGAAAATACCAGAATAATAATAATAAAGAAAATAACAGGCAAAAGAAAAATAACAGATTTTAGGCTCCAACCTTTCACCTCAAGATGCTGAGTTCAGTTCCACATTCGTCAGAATCATTAAGAGGTCTTCAAATCCAGTCCTCTTTAAGCATCGCTCTGAGATCACCTTTGCTTCTCCTGTGTACTTCTCCATTGCAGGGTGTCACTACTGGAGACCCTGCGCAGATGTGAGAATTAAAGAAGAGAATCATGAGGGAAACAGATGCTCACTGCAGCTGGTCTACTCTGGAGAATGATTAAGAAAAAGTTATTTCTATCTCTAAACTTATAGAAGTTCTACATTTGGCAACTAGTAATTCCTTATTCTGCAGTGTATTTTTAAAGTACTAGAGGTAAAATTTTCAAGGAGAATACCCTGAACTCTGGAATGTGCAATCACTGACCATGTAGTCCAGCAGTTCCTGCAGTGCTCTGAGCTCCCACTAAACTGCAGAGGAGCAACAAGCACTACAAATATGTCTTGTGTAGCAATCTGGCTTTAGTAAAATGCAGCTTTCTCCACTGTCTATGGAATATCAATGTGGAAATAAAGAGAAGAATGCATCTCTAAAACCCTCAGTTCTGCCAGACACGCTCTTTAGCTACAGTCATATGCAGCTCCCCATCTGGCAAGATGCAGCTGCTGAGATTTCTGCTACTGACTCCTGTATAGAACTCAACACCTGTCAAAGGGTTTTAGTATGGTGAAAGGTGTTTTTTAAAAATATTTATTCAAAAGAATTCAGCATGCTCTGGGCCACTGAAATGTTACACTTCATCAACCTTAATGTTGTAGTTATGGCTGTAAAATATTCCCCTTCCATTGGAATTTCCAGGCAATGGCATGTTTGCTGCCCACTCCTCTCAAACCAGCTTGTGACAGCACACAGATGAGTCTGAGGAGCTAAGTCCAGCATTCAGCTCAGTTGTTTTTGCAGACAGTGATGAGAATGGGTCATTTTGCCATTTCACCCTTAGGCAGTCCCCGTTGCTGGAGACTTTTAGCATCCTCCCTCCCTCTAACTGTCACATGAGATAAAGTGGGAGGATATAGGATGATATGGTTCTCTTACCAATCAATAGCCTCAAAAGTATGTGTAAGAGTCATCTGACCAGAGAGTCACTGCTGTGTAGGAGGCACAGATAGAGTGCCAAATAGCAGATGCTTATTGAAGATTCTAATGATTTTAGCTGCAGAATGGATCCCCAGGTCCCTTAATTCTGCAGACTCTTCTTTTTGGAAATAGCAATAAATAAATCTTATGCTTTCCCTCTGTTCAGACTTATCTTTAGGGCTTTTCTGCCTCCCCATGACACAAAATGATATGGTTCCACTATGCAAAACAAGAACATTAAGCATTATCTGGCCTCCTGTGTTCAGGACATACTCACTCAACCCAGAACTATCCTGTCACATAAGTAAAGTTAGTAACCTCAGGTGACCAAAGCATTAATACTTTATCTGTTTGAGTTGGCTGTGTATCACATCTACTGCCTATAGAAGACAATTTAAAGTGCTTAGTGTAAGAAGCAGGAAACCTGTAAGAAAGATACACTAATAGAGTAACCTAAATTATGCACAAAATATGCATGCGTGGCATAGAAATATGATTGTGATCCCTATTTTAAATTACCTCTCTGCAGTAAATAGCATCAATTTTCCAAAAGGGAGACACACAAACAGCCCACAGCAGTCCCCTCGTTTAGAACACAATGACTCACTTGGTTGGCTGAGATAGTTGCTGAGATAAGATTGCATAAAGATAGATGGTTAAAGAAAATGATGGAAGTAAATTTTCAATGAAAACATAACCTTTTCCATCTTGCTATAAATTCTGTCTAAAGCATAAATCAGTATCAGTTACATGCTTTAAAACAGCAGCTCCCCAATTGGGAGCACAATGCCCTCCCCCTTGCACATTTTAAAGGACATGGCACTATGTACAGAGAGCAATAATTTCCTGAAGATTCATGAGCAAGGTATTTTGACATACCTGGTGCTGCCCAAGCCCAGGTTTAAGTTACTATAAATAAAAAGGAAAGAGTTTGTCTAGGCTGCTCTGTGTGTGGTGCCAAGGCATTCAGGAGAGTCTGTTGCTGTGGGCATTCAGTTCATATGCTCTGAAGCATCACATTTCACTAGGATGCTTGACAACAGAAAAGTTTGCAAATGTTGTTCAGTATTTGGAAAGAGCCTGGAGTCACTGCAAACATTTGAGAAGGTGACAGTAATGTCTTTAAAGGGCTTCTTGTCTTAGCAAGGGTATTTCTTATCAATTATATAGTAAAACCATTCTTTGGATGTCAGCAGTATGGACTGACTGTTGGCTGAAGACTGACTTTGAGGGTTGCTTTAGTTTGGATTAGATCCAATCTAGTCCATGGGAGGAGGAGAGGGGGTGGGGGAGGGGAAATTGCACCAGGTTGCTTAATTAATCCGGATGCTTTGCTCATTATACCTTGAACTTCCTCAGAGGACAGGAACAAACTAGCTTGCTCAGAGTAAAATGAGTATAACATCAACAAAAAGTAAAAGGGGGGGGGTGTGGGGTGGGATTATTTAGAGTGGTGAGCCTGTATCGGAACAAACAGAAATGCAAGGCAAAATCTTCTTAGGTGAGTGTGAAATGTGAAAAGTAGACACACAAGGGTGTGCAAACATCTGCACATGTATCTGTGTAGTGATATACATTATGACCCTGCCTAAATGTGGTGAAGGATGGTGCAGAATCCTTTGTTGACACTTTTTGCCCACAGAATCAGTCAGAGAAGGTAATGCTCAGACAATTCCAAAGGTCTTGAACAGGCTCTGCACCTCTGCATCCCAAGTGGCTGTGCAAATTCTCCTACTACAAAAACATGGGGCTGCTGGACAGCCAGATTTAACCTTCTGTCTACTTCCTTGAGAGGGTGAGTATCCTGTGGGCAGCCTGCTTTGAACCACCCAGAGATGCCACAGAAGCTTGGAACTGGCTGACACAAAGCCTCCAAGATCAGCAAAGGTGTAGGTGATCCACTCGACAGGAACACGAGGTTTATTTAGAAATGGTGAGTGATTTTGTCTTAAAAAAACCTCAAAACCATGAGAGTGGATGGGGATGACAGCTACTAAAAGAAAATCCCTGGAATTTGCATGGATCTGCAAGAGTAATTCCTGTATTAAAGTAAATCCTGTGTATTAAATGTTTTGGCCATCAATTAGCAAAGTCCAGAACTCTTTTCTCTGACTCATGGTATTAGTGAAAGGACATTTCTGCACATCAGTCTGGCAGAACTTCCAAGGGTTTGATGTCAAATGTAGACAGATACTATGGTACTACCCATACCTGGACCAGGTTAGGTAAAGCAGATTATGAAGCAGTATGCCTCTAGGGCTGCCTGGATCTTCCTGTCTATGTTTGAGCTAGACTGGCAGAGGCAAGCTATGGCAAACACATCAGAATAGACTGGGGAAAAGAAAGGAAGGTAAGCCTCTATAGTGTATATATCTTACTACAAATAAATTTAATAGAGGAATTTTCCTCAAAAAAGGGAAAAATCAGCCAGTCCCCTCACTTTGCTCTTTTACCCAGAGAATGCATACATAGACGACTATTCAAAACCACACAGCTTCAGACTACACTGTTTTCCTCATGGTGATTCAGAATGGGAAGCTATGGGCGTCCCCTCAGAAGCTATAAAATGTGTGTTAAAGGATCAAAAATCAGTCGATTTAGGAGGATTTGAATTCTCTTAGTTCCTGTCACTTTTCTCTGCTGATTGCTGCCAAAGAACTAATGAATATGAGAGGAAAATACAGCATGGATGTATCTTCACACAAAGATGGATCAAATACAACCTTCTCTGTTGCAGCATCTTCCTCTGTGCAGCACATCTTGCACTTACATGGAAGAATTAAAATAATTAGCATGATGAGAGTTATTGGCCAGCAAATGAGGACAACAAGAGGATTCTGTGTGTCTGAGGCCTTCCAGTCATTTTATTCTCTGTGGATGTGAGGGTTTCACATAGACAGATATCAACCACTAGCACAGCACCAGAAACAGGACAGCGTCCCTTTTACACAGACTGGCTGTTCAATTAAGAATCCTGTTTATTTACTGTACATTTTGTACTTATCCCCTCTCAGTTCCTTTTTGATAGCTTATTTTTCATATTCCACATTTCCTCAAGAGCACAGTACTTACAATGAATTAGTATAATATACTAGTATAACACAGCTGGTTTCATTACTGGGGTCAGATTCTGCCCATTTCATCTGTGAATTTTCCCTTGAAGCCTTCACCAAAACCTTGTCACTGTTATCTTTTTTGAACAATAAAACCACTGAAAAACATCACACCTGGAGCACTAGGAAACTTCCAAGTCATGGTAATTCCTCTTCAAGTCCAGCAATTAGTGTCAGTGTCCCTAAAATTTGTGAATAAGGTTCTCTGAAAATATTTGTGCAACTGTGACTTCAGTAGGATCAATTTTGATCATACGCTGGTGTAAATCCATCGACTTGAGTGGAGTTGGTCCTGATTTACAATGAAGAGAGTCAAGACAAGCCTACCTTTCTTTGTTTTATTTTGTTTCTTTCTTTTTTTCCCCTGCTGTAAACATTGATCTAACTGAGAGTGTGGAACCATGATTTTTCCTCTAACTTCCCTAGGCTTAGATGATTTTATTATTTTCAAAACAAGTATTTTTTAAAATTATTAATAATGTCTCTTCCTTTTCATTATGAGTAGCAAAAATGTTGATAGAAACCGACAAAGTGGGTTGTTAGTGGGGCCCTCCATCCCCTTTCTCCCTAGCTGCAGACCTAAATGTGCACACCAGGTACACTTGAAGTGCCTCTTCATTAACAAAGGTCACACACCGATGGCTGCTGTGGGACACATCCTGCTCAGATGCCTTGTGGGAGATGTTGGGATCTATAAAACTTGCATATCAATATGGAATGTATATCTATATGCTGTTGGGATCTATAAAACTTTCATATCAATATGGAATCTCCTTTTGCTGTCTTTCAATCTCCCACTTCCACTTCCACTGCTGGTTTTTTTTTACACATACACGCAAACATTTAGTCTGCAGTATTTTTTCTATTTACGTATTACTATAGTGAATTTCATCATTGTATCTGATGCAGCTGAAGATAAATTTTCTCCTTCCTCCAAAGCCTGGATATTT